GGTGGAGCGCAGGAAAGTCTTTCGATGCCTAAGCGAAGAGCAATTTCGAAATCAATCTTGGCTCGATGGTTTACCAGGGACTCCATTGTTTTTACAACCGCTCTGTTTGCCATTCCAAACCTAATGTCGTGGTACTACCGCTGAGCCGTGTATGTGTAGAGTTCTATCACGTCATAGGGATTGAGGTTGATGAGGTCATTTGTTCTTCATTGATTATTACTCTGCTTGTTCTTATTGCTTCCGCTGCACTAATACTGTCAAATAGATCATCCAGAGTAAGTGATTAATATCCAAAACTGAGTTAATCGATCCTATTAATTATATATATATATATATGTGTGTGTGTGTGTGTGTGTGTTTGTGTGGAATGCATGGTGTCCAATAAGGGCCAGTTATCAGACACAGTGCTATCCCATGAGAGCCTTTTATCAGTCATGCCTTGACCGGTGAAGTGAGTTGCATTTTCATGCATCATCTGGCGAGGACTTTACCGGATGAAGTGTTGTCTGGTGAAGACCCTTATTGGACAAAGAGTTGTGCGGATTAGGCATTTTATCACCCAAAGGGTTGAACGGTTTAGTTTTTGAGACTTTAAAAGATTGATCGAATTGAGGTTTATCGATCAATGCTTTGTCCGGTAAGGATGCTCATCAGACAAAGCATTGTCCAATTTCAATATTGATACTATAAGCGTTGACTGGTGAGATAGATTGCCAGACAGAGTATTGACCGGTGATTATGTTTTCACTTTCCAAGTGTTGTCCGATGAGAAAAGGTTATCCGATGAGGGGAAGTTATCACCCAGGGATTGTCCGATGAAAAGTGAATGTTTTCCAAACTGTTGTTTAATAGTTTCAAAATTGTTTTGTGATGAGAAGAGTAACCTGTATCTTTCAAATGATGAATTGTAATTGAGGAAGGTACTTTATTTCTTTCAACACTTTGAGATGAGAAATATGTTTTTGAAAGAAGTACTGAGATGAGATTGAAAAGTGGATTTAAGAACTTGAGAGTTCTTGAGATTAAAGTTTCTGATATAAAACTATTTTGAGGTCGTTATTGGCAAAAACTACAGATTTATCTGTAGATTTGAGGAGGAAACAAGGGTGGCATATCAAGGAGAGGCGTACCATGAGATAAGGGTGACATATCAAGGAGATGTGTACGTTTGGATAAGGGTGACATTTGTGGGTGTGGTTACTATTATAGCTCATGTTGTCACATCCGTAAGATACGATAATAATAAGTCAATATTTCTTTGTGACATGAAGACTTGGAATATTGCTCTTATTGAAATGATAACAACGATGTTATTGAGAAGGGGTAATGGCTTATAGCCGAAGGCATAAATTGCCCATATTTCAATTGATTTTGTTATATCAGATATCATATTTTGATTATTCAATAGAGTGGTGATTTGAAATAAAACCCGGAGGGTTGTTGGTTATTATTTAATTAGTTTTCATTTGAGTATAACTGTTTTTATCTTTCAGAGTTATAAGAAGACAGAATTCTTATGACTCAGAGTTATGCTCATAGATACTTTCTAGACGTAGAAGACAACTCTGAATTCCTCTTATTCAGAGTTAAGGTTAGAGTTATTTTCCAGCCTAACAATAGAACTTTGAATTCTTGTGTTTCAGAGTTAATGTTCAGAGTTTTCTTTTAGACCTGAGGAAAAGTCTCAACTCATTTTCCTCATTTAAAATACCTCTCTCTCTCTTTCTCTCTATCTCTCTCTCTCTCTCTATATATATATATATATATATATATATAGAGAGAGAGAGAGAGAGAGTTTCATTCAAGGAAGAACTGATTAGTTTGTGATAACTATGAAATCTAATTTCAACCACAAATTAATGGATAAATTAGAAAACTAATATTTTTGGTAATTTGACTTAAATTATAATTAAAGGACATTTTAGATATTTTAAATTTTTTATCTCTCCTCTCTCTCTCTCTCTCTCTCTCTTAACTCTGGCCTCCAACGAAGACCATGTGATACCCAAAATACATCAAATTACACTATGTGATACTCAAAATACATACAATGTGATACCTAAAATACATACAATGTGATACCCAAAACACATCAGGTAAACTTTGAGACCACTATGATACCATTTGTGGTACCGCTGTGATACCAATTGTGGTACCACTGTGATACCAACTGTGTCGTAGGTGGGTGTTTAGTGGTTGATCATCGTATACAGCGTCTTGGTCAGACAAGATGACCAGAGGAGGTCACCGAAGTTGTGGTGGGTGCTGGAGAAGACCACCGGATTTGGTCCATGTGTGTCCGTATGTGTGTATATATATATATACATATATTAAAATAATTAAACTAATAAAAATAAATTAAAATATTAAACTAATTAAAGTAAGTTGAATAATCAACACAATTTACTAATTTACTCTTTGGCTTATTTTAGTAAATAACATTAATTATCTAAAATGATTGGCTTATATTAGACCTCACAATTACCACAAACTATTTAGTTCTCATTTGATTAGGCCTCTTTAATATATATATATATATATATATATATATAGGGGTAGGTTCAAATGAAAACCATGTCATTCTAAAAAACCGTGTAAACTAAAATCGACCAATAGGAAAATTCCATTCTTTTTTAATTAAATTTAATCAATAAGGTCATTTTGGTCATTTTCATTATTTTTTTTCATAAATAAGGAAGTTATTAAGAAATATTAAATAAGGAAATTTAATAATGAAAATTATATAAATGGAATGATTTAAAGATTTTAATATTTTATAATATTAAAAATTGATTTTTTTTATTCAATGAAGCTGGAAACATTCATGAAGATTTTATCTTGTTATGTAATGAATGAATGATTTGAGGTTCATTGTATCAAAAATTACCGGTTATRAACCTGTTTCATATGAAAAKGTTTTAAAATGAAAAKGTTTCATATTACCATAGCATAATATATTAATGTTCATATGAAAATGTTTCATTACGAAGAAACGGTTGCATATTATATTAAATGCATAATGAAAAGGTTTCATCATAATGAAACAGGTGCATAATATATTTCATTCTTTATGCAATTAATRTTCATATYAKAAKGTTTCATTAWAAAATGTTTTATTTGCTTCTTTTATTTATATTGTACATGTTCATGTACTTCCAGGTCATGATGATGAAACATATTCATGTTCAAGTTTTAATGTATATT